GAGTTCGAGATCAGCCTGACCAATGTGGTGAAACCCCATTTCTACTAAAAATACAAAAATGAGCCAGGTGTGGTGACACATGCCTGTAATCCCAGCTGCTCAGGAGGCTGAGGCAGGAGAATCCCTTGAACTCCAGAGACAGAGGTTGCAGTGAGCCACCAAGATCGCATCACTGTACTCCATCCAGCCTGGAAGACAGAGCAACACTCCGTCTCAAAAAAAAAAAGAACTAGTGGAAAAATGGGATTTGATAAATAAAAGAAAATGTCTTTATAGCCAACCTTGAATGAACTCGATCTTAATCTTTATACATCAATAATACAAATGTGTGCCATCAATTATGTTTAAATACTTCTTATTGGCTGACACTGGTAACATACAGGCAACTACCTTACTTTTTGGTTACAAAGAAAAGAACGGAAAGCTCAGCATTGATCCACTATCACTACTAAGAAAAGTAACGGGCACACCCCTCTCACTGATCAGGAGTCAAGAAAGTCACCATTGCACACTTAATAATAATGCAATTTTACGTGTTTGTGCCCTGGGTCATGCTAAAAAAAAAAAAAAAAAGATTTAAAATGATTAATGGCCATTAATAGTTAAAAAAAATGTTCGCTTCACTTATGTTTATTACACTAGAATAATCTTGTTCCACAAAGCACTTAGGAAGTTGGATTTGATTTCTTAGTAAATGTTGCTATCCTTTTACTAAAGGTTTTGTTATATGCTTTCTACGCTGATAAATATAAAGTGCACAGCACAATGCTAGAACATAGTAAGCAACCCATAAAATGTAGTTATTAAACCCACTAGGCTATAAGCTCCGGGAAAGAATGGATTGTCTTGTTTCTCTCTTGTTTAGCACTGTTTCCAGAACCTAGCCTGCTACCTGGCCCATAGTTGGTATTCAATAAACACTGTTGAATAAACAGTTGAATATGATCCAAGAGTAATTCTCAACTCTCACCTCCTATTTTATGGTTACCAGTGCCCCACGTCCTCTCTAATCAACAGCAAGGTCCTGGAAAAACCATACCCCAGAGGAAAGGCACTTAAGTTCCTGTTTGTATTTCCTGAAACTCACCACAAAGATTCTTCCCTCTTGTCCCAAAACCCCAAAATCAATGCTTTGTAACAACGTATTCTTAAACAATTTTGCTTCATTTCCCCTCACAGACAATGCATGAAGTTCCTTAAAACTGACATAGTCTAGTTTAGTTCCCTTTACCCTTTAAAGAAAAGGCATATTTGTAAAACCCTATTTTGATTCACAGTTGGTTATCACACAGGCTGCAACTTGTTTTTTTACAATACTTAGTATAAATTAAAATAATATAGGCTTAAAATAATTTGTAAATGTTACACAACAAAGTATACCACACTTTAGAGCAATAAAATTAGGAAGCTGACAAATACTTCAATGACTATTTTATTCACTGAAATATTTTATTCATTTATTTTCATTCTTGAAAATAAAATTCAGGGGCTGGGTGTGGTGGCTCATTCCTATAATCCTAGCACTTTTGGAGGCCAAGGTGGAAGGACTGCTTGAGGCCAGAAGTTTGAGAGCAGCCTGGGCAACACAGTGAGACTCTATCTCTACAAAATGAATAAATAAATATTAATAAAATAAAATTCAGAGAATTTTTTTTTTTTGGAAGTAGAGTTCAGGTCCAGTTCAAGGAGTCACATGAAAAATTCTGTGCCATTACTTTATAGTTATAACTCCTATCTGACCTAAAACAGTAGTATCACCAACATGATTGCTAATCTTTCTTATCAGACTTGAGTCCAAATTCCCTAAATTATTTGGATTCTAATGGACTGTTATTCCCTAAAATCAAATCTGCTCTCAAAAAATGAAGACGGAGGTCCAGACACAGTGGCTCACCCCTTATCTCAGCACTTTGGGAGGCCAAGGCAGGCAGATCACCTGAGGTCAGGAGTTCAAGACCAGTCTGGCCAACATGGTGAAACCCTGTCTCTACTAAATATACAAAAATCAGCCCAGCATGGTGTTGCACACCTGTAATTCCAGCTACTTGGGAGCCTGAGGCAGGAGAATCACTTGAACCCAGGAGGCAGAGATTACAATCAGCAGAGATGGTACCATTGCACTCCAACCTAGGCAACAGAGTGAGACTCCATCTCAAAAAAAAAAAAAGAGTAACATAGGCTCCAAAGTAGATTCTAAAAGAAGTTCCAAAAAATGTTTTCTGCCATACCTAAAAAGGTACTCATAGAAAGAACAACTCCAGGCCAGGCTTGTAATCCCAGCACTTTGGGAGGCCAAGGAGGGCAGATTACTTGAGGTCAGGAGTTTGAGACCAGCCTGGCCAACATGGAGAACCCTATCTCTACTAAAATACAAAAATTAGCTGGGTATGGTGGCAAGCACCTGTAATCCCAGCTACTCAGGAGGCTGAGGCAGGAGAATCACTTGAACCCAGGAGGCAGAAGTTTTAGTGAGCCAAAATAGTGCCACTGCATTCAAGTCTGGGCAACAGCATGAGATTTCTTCTCAAAAAAAAAAGAAAGAACGAACACTTCAAATAACTACTCTGAATCTGTGAATAAAATAACATTTACTTGTAAATCTAAATTCTGATATTTCATTCCAACATTAGTTATATTGGTTTATTGTCAATTGTCATATAATTTCAGTTGTATTTTCCTTTACCAATATGCTGTAGGTTACATCTTAAATCCCTTTAGTAGAAATACTACTAAAGAAACAAGCAAATAAAAAAACTCTGCCTCCCTGGAAAGACACACAAGACATTTAACAGTGCTTGTCTTTAAGAGAGTAGCCGGGTGCAGTAGCTCTCGCCTGTAATTCCAGCACTTTGGGAGGCTGAGGCAGGCAGATCACAAGGTCAAGAGATCCAGCCCATCCTGGCCAACATGGTGAAACCCCTGTCTCTACTAAAAATACAAAACTTAGCTGGGCGTGATAGCATGCGCCTGTAGTCCCAGCTACTCAGGAGGCTGAGGCAGGAGAACTGCTTGAACCCGGGAGATGGAGGTTGCAGTGAACCGTAATTGTGCCACTGCACTCCAGCCTGGTGGCAGAGCGAGATTGTCTCAAAAAAAAAAAAAAAAAAAAAAAGAGACAGTAGAGTAACTGGAGAACAAAAAGGAAAGGAGACTTTTCACTGAATACCTTTTTAAAGCTTTCAAATTTTATCCAATGTCAATGCACTACCTATTTTTTAAAACCTGTTCAATAAAAGTACTTTTAAGTGTCAGATACTGCTGACTTCTATACCACAGAAAAATATACCACTAAAGAAATGTGGAGTTAATTTTAATGACACTTCACTGTAAATCTGGATCTCCTGTTCCAGTTCAGAGCGAGTCACCAACAGCAGTGAACTCTTGCAAGCAATTCAATTGGAGTTTCCCAAACCCTCTACAGTTGACTTATTCTGCTGTATCACTCCATTAAAATTTAAATAGCATTGAAAACAAAAACACGACACTACAGAAATGAATGTGTCAATTCAAGAAAGAAAAAAATGGAAAGCTATTAATGAGCCATAAAATATTAAAGGAGCAATGATCCAAATACATCTTTGAAAATTAGCAATTCAAGTAGATATATATACGTATATACTGCATGTAAAATGCTGTAAATCAACTACACACACACACACTCTTTCTCTCTCTCTGAATGTAAAATGTTGCAAATTCCTTTAAAATGTAAACTGACACACTGTAAAAATGAGAGAAAGATGTCAAGCACGGTGCATTCTACAACATAACTTAAGCAGCTTGAACTAGAAAATGCAACATGATCTGTTGCTGGACACAATTGCACAATCTCAATTACCCAGAAGATTCTACCAAACAGGAAATTCATGATGTGACTTCAGGAAACACAGCAATCATATTTAAAGATTAACACATCCAAAAGCCTGGAATTTGTTCCAAAACAAAAAACGATTTTACAGGCCCCTTTTCAAATCTTGCATAAACACGAATTACTAAAACACAGAAAAAGCTAACCGTTAAATCTGATATTTAGTTTCAGATCCATAGCTTTCAAATTATACAAAATCTAAAATACAGGGTATAAAACCTTGGAAGTTAGAGGTCAGTTAGTGAAATATTTCAGGTCTGGAAATCATATGATATCGACTTAATTTAAAACACACTCATAGTGTAAATTAAAGCTAAAAAGTATTTCTTCCCTTCCTTTTCTATGTGGTTCCATATCTTTACGAAAACCATCGTGTACCTCAAGCCATAAATGCAGATAATTCCCTGCAAACTCTCTGAGGGACTTTTAAACCACAGTATTCGCAGGAATTATCACAACAAGAAATTTACAATACCTCCCAGCACTGTTAATAACTTTTTGATCTTGAGGGCACCTCACAGATCTGAATCTTTCTTGCTCCAAAGGAGAAAATTGTTTTGTCGAACAATACTTAAATGAGCAGTGGTATGTGACTAATCAGTGAGGCTGCCAGTTTCTCAAGCTGCAGTGTTCTTGCAAGCATTACCACCGCCGCCCCTCCACGGAAAGGAAATACGCTTTCAACTGAATCGGAAACACACCACTCAAGCTGGCACAGTGCTCACTGAGATAAAGTCGGTATTTTAAGCTCTATGGATCGGTGCTAACTCAAGTGCGAATTCAAAAAGAACGCTTCTCAAGATGGGATTTCGACAGAGGTTTGCAAAAAAAGAAGGAAAAAAAAAGCCCGGAGAGAGCTCCCTTCCTGCTCAGTTTTGTTCAGATGACTGAAGTCTTCGGGTTGGCCTCTGCCCTTCTGCTTCTCCCGGGAGCTCCCCGAGCTTGTCTGCTCAAAGGACAGGCTCCCGCGTTCCAGCGTGGGCGCATCGCGGGAGAGGGTCCTTCTGCTCCAGGTCGGTAGGGAGACCCCCCAAGAAAGCAGCCCTGCCCCCGGCGCCTGCCGCCGAACAGCAACCCTCCGAGATGGGAAGGCGCAGGGTGCTACCCAGAACCGAGCTCCAGCACCACCACCTACCTCTCGCAGCGGACCTGAGTGCTGCACACGGTGGACCACATACCCGCGAGTGCAGGGCGAGGGGTGCAGGAGGTGCAGAACAGGCAGGGCTCGAAGGGCAGCAATGCCCTCCCCCGAGGAAAATTCCTGCCACTTGACGCAACGCTGAGCCGTGGGGCAGGCCTGGCCCTCGGGCGCGAGGGGCCACCCTGACCACAGCAGCCCCAGCGAGGCCCGGCGACACTCACCACACAGAGCCATAGGCGCCGGAGCCCACTGGAGACAGGTTCTGGTAACGCTCGGGCACCTCCCAGATTGTCTTGTTCAGCTCCTGCCGGTAGAACGTGGGCCTCTCCTGAGACATTTTCCAGCGGCAGCCGCCAGGCAAGAAGGTGGCCCTGTGGGGCCCCCGCCTGCACCCGCACCCTCTCCCCGGCCCTTGCTGCCCGCCCAACCGGGCGGGGACCTCGCGCTGGTCGCCCGCGCAGGTGCGGCTGCCGCGACCCCGCAGACTCCCGCGCGCGCGGCTGCTGTCAGCCGCAGCGGCTGGATGCGCCTCTGCGACTGGGGCAAGCCCGGTTAAGAGAAGGGACGCGCTCTGGCGCTCAAGGCTGCGCGCGCCGCGATATCCCTGCACCTTCGCCCCTACTAGGCCGACTCTGGGCTGCGTCGCAGGACTTCTGCTCCAGCTGCGCCCGCTGAGGATCCAGTGGTCCCGGTTCCAGAGCCAGCAAACGGGAGCCTCCCCGTACTCTCGCGAGAACAGCTCCTGGAACTCTCCGCGAACCGAGATTTTACCCAATATGGAACCTCTCCGCGGGCGGGGCTTCGTGAGAGGAGAATATGGGAGAAGCAATTCTCGCGAGAAGAGAGCAACAACTGTAGACCAGAGGCAGAAATTCCCCAGGGACTGTCTCCTTAAGGGCGCGAAGGAGCACTAGGGAAGAAAGAGATAAGCGGGCAGCACACGCCGCGCGCGCCTCACCGTGGCCGGCGGGGCAAATACCTGGCTCTGTGGTGGGAAACGAGAGGGACAAATAGCATGTTGGGGAAGAGCCAAAAGATCTTTAACAGAGAGTAGTTCCCAGCAGCTGAGCACCTGCTCAACAGAACCCCCAAATTCCAAAAAACACTTGCATAAAAAAGAGACAAGTTCCGGCCAGAAGGCTGCTGCATTCCCATCTGTTCAAGGACATGTGGTTACTCTTCAAGATGCTTGATGAAATCTGCCCCCCAAAACAAATGTCAACCTGCATCAAAGCTAGGCTCTCCATTCAAACTCTCCTAGTAGTTCTTAAACTTACACGCAGAAAAATCACTCTAGGAGTTTAAGATGCAAGTTCCCAGGACTCACAGGGAATCTAATTGGGTAGGTCAGAGGACGGCATCAAGAGCATGTATTTTTATAGTACATCTTAGGTGGTTCTGATTCAGGAAAGTCTCTGATATTTCCCTTTGAGAAGCATTTAAAAAAACCATTACACTGAAGACTTGAAACTGACTCCTATCCTGAAGAGCCATCAGTGAAGAGGATTTTAAGCCTTTAACTTAGGCCTCTTGGAGTAAGAAGAATAGGGCATGAGTCTCATCAAATTTAGGCAAGTCAATTGACCTTTCCTGAACCCTTAGTTCAGGAAAACCCTTAGGAATTTCTGCCCTGCATTCCCGATGAACAGAGTCATGTGTAAAAACTGAACAAGATAAATGTAAATGGGCAAGGCATTATAACCTCATGCCTACATCCATTATCAACCTACACCTATGCTAAAGCTTGTTACAATGAGCAGAAGAATCAGATCCTGTCTGATTCTCTTAGTTTCTTGTATTAGAAATAACTGGGTGCAAGCCAGGACATTTCTCATCATTTCCCGTGTCATACCTTGGAGGGCTCAGACTTTGCCTATCTTGTCCCAACATCTAGCACAGTGTCTAGAACATAAAGCATGTCCCATACGTATTTATTGAAAAATTATGAACAATCACCATGATTTCAATTTAGGAGGTGGTACAGGATCCTCAGTCCTCCTCAAGGAAAGCAACATAAAACCAGAAAACAGAGTCATGGGTGATTCATGGAAAGCTGTCTTGGATCCAATGTAGCTTAGCTGGAATTCTCTTATCTATAAAAACATAATGCTTGAGAATGTTCCAAACTAGGGAGGCTAGGAAGCTTTCTAAGATGTAATGGAGGGTGAAGGGGAAGTAAGAGTAAAAACATGATTGTGAAGAAGAGAGGGATGGGGTGGGGGGCATCAAGGGAATGAGGGGATGGTTACAAGGGGTGAGGAGGAAGGCTGGAAGTAGGAATCCTCAGAAATGCACATTTTTACCTTACAAATTGGTATGATGAGGTGAGGGCAAATAAAAGGATAAAGATAAAGTAAGCAGTATATTTGTATACTCATTCAACAAATGTGTATTAAATGCCTACTGGGTGCCAAGCACTTGTAGTTAAAAAGTAATTTAAAACTACAGTTGCTGCCTGTGTGGAGCTTACAATCGATGGGAGGGCAATCATTCAACACAAATTTGTTGAACACTTCCTATGTCCACCACACTGTTGTGGGCACTGATAATAAAACAGTTATTGAAAGGGATAAAAATCCCAGCCCTCATGGGGGTAAGACAATTTACAAAAAGGAATACATAAAGTGAATAATAAGGTAGACACTAACACAGTCATCAAACAAACAAGTGTAAAACTGTAACTGGGCCAAGCAGGAATACAAGGTGGAGTGAGAGACAGCGATGGGGACAGGGATAGGGTGCGAGGAGGGTAAAGGGAGTGAGTGCAGAGGGCAAATCTGCCTGCAGAGCAGAGATCTGGGCAGGAGGGTGTCAACCAGTGCTGGGAGCCAGGCTTGTAGGGAAGAGGGCCTATGGTTGGAGACCCGGGTGACCTTCCTAGCCTCTATTTCCTTTTAGGTCTTCTGACCTGAGGAAGGCTTAAGTCTTCAGGAGATGTTAGTGAATTACCGTCTGTGCAGTACACTTGTGCATTACTGTATGTTCAAAGCACGAGGCTGGGCACCAAATAGGCCCTCGATCAGGAATAGTAAAACCTCGGAGAGAGTAGGAGCGTTGGCGTACAGGTACCGAGGTTTACCAAGTACTGGCTCACGTATGAGGAGGGCGGCCCAGATACCCCTTTCCTGGCTCCCCAGCCCAGCTGTTCCTGCTATCCTTCCTCGTCCCCTCCCCCACTCTCATCTCCCGTCCACCGGGAACGCCGGCGGGATCGGCCGCAACGGTTCGGGAACCGCCGGTGTCCGCTTCCTCGGCGCCGCCAGCTAGGCGGGAGCCGTGTGAGACCCCAGCGCCCCACTCCGGCCCCCGCCAAGGAGCAGGTAAGCCGCTGCGGCTGCCGGGAGACTCCCGGGCGCCGGGAACTGAGGCGGTGAGCGGCGAGGCCAAGGCGGGTCCCTAGGCAGGGGCTGCGTGAGTCACCAGTAGGTACCCAGGTGTGCCGCAGGGCCAGGCACGTCACGGGCGCTCAGTCAATATCTGTGGAATGAATGAATGAATGAATGAATGTCGTCCCTGGGAGCTTGTCTCTCAGGTATTGTCTCTACTTTAAAAGGCCGTGTGGATGGCAATGACAAGAGACCGTGTGAGCATTTTGCAAGCTGCATCCTTTCAAATTCGCCTAATCTATATTGTCAAAAGCCCCAGAACTGATGTGCTGCCTGCACCCCACCGCCTACCCCATCCTTTTCCTTCCGAGGCCTGACTGCCCAGCCGTTCCTCCTCCTTTCAGTCCTCGCTGCTTTTGTTCATTTTCTTCCCTGCGACTGAATCCCCACCCCCACCTCCTTGCCCCTTTCTTTTCCTGTCAAATGCCATTTATGTGTCAGGGGCCCCTTCTGAAGCAGATGCCTTCTCCAGCACCCCCACCCCAATAATGAGCATCTCTCCAACACACCGTTACTCTCTCCACATCGCATGGAAGGCGGTTGTCCAATGTTTATGTGTCCAGTGGTCTCCGCTTAAGACCTGCCATTTAATTAGTCATCCCCGGCCACTAGCCAGAGTGACTGAAGGATCTAAAGGCCAGGCTCTTTGCTCATACCTTTTCTGTACTCCCAATACATTCTCCATAAAAACCAGGAGTACCAGCACGCCACTGTGCCCAGCTAATTTCTGTATTTTTAGTCAAAAGGGGATTTTGCCATGTTAGCCAGACTGGTCTTGAACTCCTGACCTTAGGTGATTCAACCATCTTGGCCTTCCTAAATTCTGGGATTACAGGCATGAGCCAGTGAGCCATGCCCAGCCTATTTTTTACTTTTAAAACACTCTGAACACAGATAATGTAAATTAATAAATGGATGGATGGATGGATGGATGGATGGATGGATGGATGGATGGATTGATAAGGGTAGTATGGCAGGTGAAAGAGCTAGGCCAAAAGTGCTTGTATTTTAACAGTGCCCCCACACTTAGCACTGAAAGGCTGACTAAAGATAATACACTATGTTTATAGTGGTATTCATACTTTAATTTTTATCAGAATCACCTGGATAGCTTCTTTTCTTTTTTTCTACCTAGCAAGACCTACTGAATCAGAATCTCTAGGGGCCCAGCAGTCTGGACAGCTTCTTAAAACAGACTGCTGGGCCCCCAGAGTTTCTGATTCAGTAGGTCTTGCTAAGTGGAGCCTACTCAACAGTAGGAGTTTCTGGTCATTGCATCTTGTTGGGAAGGGTCCTGCTAGTACATGAAAATGAGTCACTAGGGTTTCTATGAAATCAGGAAAGACATAATGGAGCTGGAGAAATTCCAAAGATTACCAAAAATAATAATAATAACAAGGAAACCATGTGTTTTCCCTTGCTGCTGTTAGCCAGACATTTGATGGAATTCCTTAAAGACAACTTTCCACCTGCCCCTCCTAGCCATCCTCACTATGGCCATAGGAGTTTATGACTTGATAACCTCGCCTAGACTATTATAATATTAATGCTCTCCAACTGGCCGTTTTGCCTCACTCTCATCTATCTCCAACACTGTCCAATAGAATTTTTTGTGATGATGGAAGGTAACCTGCACTGTCCAGTTAGGTAACCACTAGCCATATGTGGCTGTTGAGCACTTGAAATCTAGCTATTATCACTGAGGAACTGAATTTGTAATTTTATTTTAAGTTTAAATAGCCACATGTAGCCAGTGGCTACTACACTGGACAACTCAGCTCTAGAACATCGTACTAGCACATTTCATCTTCCCAGAGTGCATCTCTGTGTGTATTACTATTCCTGCTCAAAGATTTTAAATAAGCTGGGCATGGTGGCTCAAACCTGAAATCCCGGCACTTTTGGAAGCCAAGACATGTGGATCACCTGAGGTGGGGAGCTCAAGACCAGCTTGGCCAACATGGCAAAATCCCATCTCTGCCAAAAATATAAAAATTAGCTGGGAGTGGTGGCAGGCACCTGTAATTCCAGCTACTCAGGAGGCTGAGTAAGGAGAATCACTTGAACCTGGGAGGCGGAGTTTGCAGTGAGTCAAGATTGGGCTGCTGCACTCCAGCCTGGGTGACAGCGCCAGATTCCATCTCCAAAAATAAAAATAAAAAATATACATATACATATATATATACACACATATATACATATACATATACACACACACATATATATGTATATATATATATACACATATATATGTATATGTAAAGTAACTGACCATATTTTAAAGCCAGAAAATTCCACATAAAAATCTGGCATTATGGCTTCCCCTGGAACAGATCAGTGGGGGCCATTCTGGGCCCCACACTGACCAATGGCAAGAATGGCTGGAGCTAAGCAGCTTCTGCTGCCTTTGTCAGCCCCACTGTTCCCACCACTCCTTGATGGTCATACTTTGCCTATTTTAC